CACGAACCAAAAAGTTTTCATTTAACTCTACAGAATAGCTGGATACGAATAGAGGCTCAACATTGTCAAATGGTAAGATATTGAGAAATATACCCTTTTTGAAATATTTTTCAACATTTATTCTAACGGTGCAAACAGGTTTTGGTTTGAAGCAGCCTTTCTCAAGTTATTCGCAACGAACTATCTATATCGATTTTCATTATTGACGATGATTTGCGGAAAAACGACATCTTCAAACACGAATTTACTTATTCATCATTTCATTGATTAATTAGTAAATTAATAGTTTCAATGGTTTCTAAGCTTTAGAACAATTATTTGAAATAACTTTTTTGAAAGGGAATTTGAATTTGAATAACTTTCGTTCAATTATTTGAAAAAGTCAGGGTCACGAGCGGGATTCGAACCCACGAACTTCGGCTAAATACGCCGCTGTTCTACCACTTGAGCTATCGTGACTTCGATCCGCTCGGACACTAACTTCCCATCTCAACCTCACCTCTCGAATTGAAAAATGGCAAAAGGAGGAAAAATGGATTTGAAATAACATGTATTTAGCCATTTCAACCAAATCTATGGTATAATCAGACCTTTCGTTTAAAATTAAATCAAGCTGTGGTACTTTTAAACAATGGCCGTTGTCTAAATTAACACCGGGAAATATTGTTTGCCCGAATGACGTGGTCAAAACGGGTTTTTGCATTAAGAAGTCATATAACGTCATGCTGTCAACGTGATCGTTTCAATTTCTCCAACTACCATTTGCCCCAGCATCGATTTCGTGCCATCACGTACGGTTCCTTGTGAGAATGAATTCCCGTCTCTTCAAATTTATGGAAGTATTTCAGTTCAATCTAATATTTGACGAGTTATCAACTTATTCGATCAGAATGGAGTTGTTGAAAGTTTTGTTAATATTTCATATTTTTAGTGATGAAACACTTTCTAATCATGTGTATTTTGCTTGCTATCACGATTTATCATCCTCGTCCTTGGTACTTTTTTGGTCCTTACCATCAAGAACCGTTTCAGTTTTAATATTTTTTACAGTATGTCATTCTCTCCAAGTTTTCAAAGGACGTTATTACATTAAAGGCTTTTTTTCTCATTAAAATTGCGGTTTCGTTCTGATTTCATAATTTTCCTTTAATTCGTGAAATGTTATTTGTCATGGACTTGTGTGCAAACTCCGGTCTAATGAGAGGTTTTTTGCGTCAGTGACTGTGTTTGTGCTTCAGAGACCTAGCCCGGCAATGGGCTAATGTTGAGAACCCTAAGTTGTTTAGATTATTCTAACATCGTTGTTCATACTTAGGTGTTTTAAATGACAGCATTTTCTCGATGGCTTTTCTTCGTTGACCCTTTTGCTATACAGTCTTTGAATCCTACTATGTCACTTATTAACCGTTTTAATGTATGTTCTTAAAAATACACGGTTTACTGCCTTACATTCACCTGATTCCTCGTTAATTGTTAACTCTACTTTCTCCCTTTCTTTTTTTTAAGCGGTCTACAACAATATTGTTTAATATTGCTCGTATGTTTTTAGATAGTTCTTTATTAGCGAATTTTATGAGATGACAAGGCAGTTGGCAGTTCTGGTCGCACATTCCTTATTGATTCGAACTAATAGTCAGACCTATTCGTCTAGTAGACCAAAAAACTTATTTACGAAGTTGTTGCTAGAGAACCGTTTATTGGTCAATTCAAAAACTACATAGCTTACAATCCGAAAGCTATGTAAGGTTGCCAGTCTAAGATCCATACAGTGGATCGCTAGGGAAGGATAAAACAGGATAAGGCGGCCAAAAGGAAACTTATATTAGATATTGATGGTAGATACCGCCTTCCCTCTATAGAACTGCTCACAAAAACGAAAAAACTTTTTAATAGAGAAGGCAGGTTTTACACAAACAGGGGTCTGTTATTACGAAAAATTTCCATTACAAGGGTATCAAAAGTAATTCGAGCCTAAGGTTAAATAGATACAATAAAGTAAAATGGCCTGGGTAAGAATAGGTCAAGGTTCGTCAATTCGTGTCTTCAACAGGAATTTGAAAATATTCAATCAGTCAGAGTTAGACAACTACAGAAATAGTAACGTCGTTAACACAGTGGAACATAAAATAGGTTGTAACGTTGTAAAATGGACAGATCTGCCAGAAAAAAATGCCATTCAGAAATTTTCATAAACTAACCTCAAAGACCTGAAAGCAAACAGAACCACCACTCTGTATGCCAGTGATGAACCGTAAATAGAATAAACGGCTTTAACATTACTGAGATAAAACGTGCTTCGCAAAAATACCAATTATTATAAGAAATTGTAGTACAAAAAGGTGTGTACAATGTGTATGTGATAGTATTATTTATAACCGTCTAATTTACAACGACATATCAATGTTTTTTGTATAAGGGTATATTTGCTGCATATTTTTGCGAATGATATTAGGATGGTTTTATTAGTTTCCATTTAAAAGTTCTTTTAAACTTACGCTTTTGTATATTTGTACCTAGTTTTGGTTATTTATCACTTGAAATTAATTTGCTCTTTGCTATTCGGGTATCAGCTGGTGGGTTCCATTCAGCCACAGTTCTGTGGTGGAGCACCAGTTGTTTAAATTTCTGTTTATACGTCCGTGTAATCGCTTCTGCTCAATATTTATTTTAACATTTGCAATTCAATTGCTTCTTTGCAATGCAACTTCATTATATATTATCATTTAGGTAAATTCAAAAAGCTTTTATTTTCAGCAAATTCGATCGAAGATAAGACAATGATCGACCGCTATGTACGACGGGTAACGATAGAAATGATAAATGATGGAGTGAGTGTGGTGTTCAATCTTTTCAATCCACTTTGTGCCAAAATATTCATGGATAAATTCGAAAAAAAAATCTTTTCAAATCAAAGGACAAATCAACTAAATCTGTTCATTTTTGGAAATGGTATGTGGTATGATTTTATGCGTATGGTCGCACGTTCAAATTGAGCGCCATTAAAAAACCAGCTGCTAGTTGGAACGTCGCGTTGGCGGGGGTATCAGCGGGTTCACTTTTGCAATTCATGTCGAGAGATGTGGTTGTAGAAGTCCTTCAACCTGATGATGAGCTAAACGGCTCGAAATCCAAAATCGTTGCAAAAACAACTTACTGTGAATAGGTACTATATTTTTAAAAAGGACTAAAGACGATCAGTTTCTCTACTACTGGAGAGGTATAGAGTAGAAAGGCGACTATTTGATAATCAGAATCTCGCTTGGACACTTGAACAGGGGGCTGTTTTCTTCAGAGATGAGTGCCGGTTTGGTTTGTGATAATCAGATGACCTACTTGTGCAAAATACATGGAAACCGCTTGCCTTCATATGCCATGCGTGTCACAGTCTTTCAAAGGCAGTCAGTTATGTTATGAAGTGGAATCAACTCTATGCCTCTACCGATCTGATTATCATACAGAAGGGATCAGTGACTGCACTAAGATACCTTGAGCAAGTTCATCTCGAAACGGTCATCATGTTAATGAATGATAATGCTCGATCGCTCGAGTTGTCACCCATATTTTGGAGGATGAAGGGAGTACAACAATGTAGTGGATAGCACGTTCTCTTGAATGAAGCCTATGGACCAGTTACGGGACATGATAAAGAGCCGGATCAGACATCGTCCCCCTCCTCCTACAAGTGTGAAACAGCTTCAAATCATTCTTCCTGAAAAATGGGGAAAGGCGAAATCCGATCGCTTATTTATTCGATGCCTAGGAGTAGGTAATACGCGTTATTAAGAGCAAAACTAGCTATAAATTGTTGGTTCAATTTTCACAAATCGCTAAACGATTTTCCCGATGTTTTTGTAAATTTTCTTTCAAACCATCATAGTTAAATAATTTTTATGAAAAGTCATGAATTTCTGATCTCGTCTAATTTGGTTTATATTAAAATAAGTATATTGTAATTAATATAACTATAAAAAAGACATATAGTTGAAGTAAACAGCAAAATACGAGTGTCTGGTATCTTTTGAGTAGATATACACAATTTACATTCCAATTTATGAACAAAGATCCCGCTTCTAATTAATTTAAATAACAAGTCGATCAATATTCGAGCATTACAAGTTTCACTGAACATTAACATATTCTTACAATTTTGAAGGAGCACATGTCTTCTTTTGTACTGCATTTATTATTATTAAAGCAGTTGTTAAATTTTTTTGGCTTTGAATGTGCATGTAGTTAGGTTGTGAGGTTCTCTGATAGACGTCCATTTCTCTTGTCTTTCAGTCTACTTCTCTTGTGCTAAAAATCTTATTTTTTGCTGTCATCTAACACGTTTTAAAAACCGTATAAACTAAAACCTATTTTTTTTAGATCTCAATAAATCAATTATTTATACAAATTATTTTTAAATGAACTTCTTAATTTATAGTATTTTTAAATTGAATGTGGATTTTGTTTGAATATTTGAAAATAAATTTATATTGAAAAGTTTTATTTAGTATTTAAAGTGTTTTATAAAAATAATAAAAATGCTGACACGTTTTAAAATCAACATTTGACTACATAAAAGCCGATTTTTTTGATCTCACTGAATCAGGTTTTAGTTCAAATTATTTGTAAATAAACTTCATTATTTTATAGCTTTGTTAATGCAAATTCTGATTTTGTTTGAATATGTGAACATACATTTATTTTGAAAAGGTTTATTAAGTTTTGAAAGTTAATACAATGTATGTAAACAAAACTCATGTCCTACGTGGATTTTGTTTGAATATTTGAAAATAAATTTATTTTGAAAAGTTTTATTTAGTATTTAAAGTATTTTGTAAATGTTTGCTAAAAATCTTATTTTTTGCTCACACGTTTTAAAATCCACATTTAACTAGCTAAAAGCCGATTTATTTTATCTCACTGAATCAGGTTCAAATTATTTGCAAATAATCTTCATTGTTTTATAGATTTTTTATGCAAATTCGGATTTTGTTTGAATATTTGAACATACATTTATTTTGAAAAGGTTTATTAATTTTTTAAAGTTAATACAATGTATCTAAAAAAAATAACTCATGTTTAGCACCGGTAGTCCGTTGTTTCAGTAATGCCCGTATCCTCCGTAGTTGCTTACAGGGTAACCATGTCCTCCATAGTAACTTCCTGGGTATCCATATCCACCGTAGTAAGAAGTTGGGTGGCTATATCCTCCATAGTAGGCACTTGGGTAAGCTCCGTAAGCGGCACTGCTGTAACCTGCATATCCTGGGTGTGCGTAGCCACCGTATCCTGAATAACCTAGGTTGCTGTATCCCAATTGTCCAAGACCACTGTACCCGCCATAACCACCATAACCTAAACCTAAATTTAAAAATGAAGTTTTTTGAAGTTAAAATGAAAAGAAAATTTCACAGTTACCTGTGTATCCTGCAACGCCCTTTTTCACCCTAACATCTTCTGCGGCGGATGCTGCAGCGACAAGGACGACGGCGACGATCTGGAAGGCAAGAACAAAACTTAGGATTTTTTTCATCAAAAGTAAGTGTAAAACGCAATTAACTAACAAGGCTCTTGAAGGAGAACATTGCTGTAGACTTTGGTCTAGTGAAGATACACCATGCACATTTTCTTTTTATACTTTCGAATTCCCACCCCCAGCGGCCTTGTGAGAAGCGATTTCCACTCCATTCGAAGCAGCAGGCACGAAGATTTATTGCTCATTTAATTTGTGCGTCTGGGTATATGTGTTTTTTAAAGGCAGCAATTGAATGCAAACTGCCCTCGTTTAGGTAATTTCAAACACATCTTTTCTGACTTCCCATGACATTTGAACAAGTTATAATTATAAGTTTACAAACTTAAAACTCTATTATAAGTTTCCTCAGATTATAATTAACTAGTAAACAACACACCATCTTTCTGCGTTCTACAATTTTCGAAATTTTTTATTGTAATAAAACCACTGTTTAAGTGTTTTATTTTGATTTATATGAATAACTGCTCCATTGACAATATTGATCCAGTTTATACTATCAGCATATTCATTATACAGGGTGAATTGCTACTCGTGCTACAAACTTCTCCAGTAGATTCTTCACCCTAAAATGAACAAAAAAGTTCATATTGTCCATGGTCCGATTCTCAACCATTTCAGAGTANGGACCATGGACAATATGAACTTTTTTGTTCATTTTAGGGTGAAGAATCTACTGGAGAAGTTTGTAGCACGAGTAGCAATTCACCCTGTATAGTACAAATCATGCTTTATAAAAAAGAAAGAGTAAATATTCTGTCCTCATGTTGTCACCTACAGGGCTGCTACTACTAAAATTGAAAAAAGAAAATATATATGCTTATATGGCTACTCTTTTTATTGAAAACAGAAACATTTCATTGGAATAAAATCACACATTGCCGATAGTTTTTAAATATAAATTCACACAAACAAATGAACATCTTTAATGTAATTGAAATATTTCTCATGGAAAGTCCTCTCACATAAAGCAATGGCATTACCTTAAAACCTCTCATTCCAGAATTGCCTACATTCGACAATAAATAACTGCTTAAAAACTACGAAAATTAATTATTTTAGTTACGAAAATAGTACGTTTATAGTGTGGTGTTTTATTGAACTTCTCTAACAAAATTAGTTTATTTCTGGCTATTTCGGAGCGCAGTTCTCCTAACACAAACCTTCAATCTTCAAACCTTTCCGGAGTTCAAGCCTGATTCTAATTGACCAGAAAAAACAAATTAATAGGTAAACTCTTATTTACATTTAATAAAACAACCAAAAATAAAAAGGAGCTCGAGATTAGTACATATAATTCCAATTTGAACATACAGACTTAGTTTTGCAAGAAATTAGTAGTGAAATCAAAAATTTGCCTTTTTCTAATTAAATTCATTTATTTATATTAACACATTTTTAATTTTAAATGTTTCTCTTAATTTCATTTATTTTGTTAAATCAACGAAGTGTCTTAAAGGAAGATAGAAATCAGAAGAATTCTGTTTATTTTTCCTTATTTTTCATGCCTTGCTGACATAGGCTAAATGAAATGAATCAAGCTTTTTAGGTTTAATTTTGAAAAATTAAGAATTTTGAACATTACACCGGGTATCCAAGAAAAAAATTCCCTCTAGCCAATCCAGCCAAAATTTGCTTTTGTTTGTTATAAATGTCGTATTTTAATTTATTGCCATATTGTACTGTTTAATTTACAGGAGGTCTGCCCTAACATAACTTTTTGTCTTTACATACCATTTACTGACATGTTTCAAGATATACCAAGTATCAAAATAAAGAATATAATAATTGCATTGAATAGTTGGATACAATTAAAAAAACATGTTAAATAACTAAAAATACTTGCATAATAATACAATACAATAAATAATTGCAAATAACAATAAACTAAGCGTAATAATTGATAATCCCACTCCTCTTTTTTCACACGTCACCACTTTTTTCACACATAACATAAAATGTCTGCGTTTTGTGTTGATGTAATTAAAGAAAGGGTATTAAAGGAATAAGTTGTTAGTAAATTTGTCAAGTTCTACAGCAAAGTTTTCCAACAGAGTTGCAAATTTAATTGTGTTACAAATTTTAGACTAAGCAGTGTTTGTAAGATTTAGAGGTTTTTGTGGAAAAAATTAAATTAAAAGTACTAGACGTGTGCCTTCTTAAATGAAATTTAACGCTTTTACCCAAAAATGAATAGTTCCTTTAGTAGTGACGAAAAATGCAGATAGTTGAAAAAACATAAAATGTTAAATATATGCTAAAGCGTTGAGAATGGGACCACGGTTCATACGATTTTTTTTTTTACATTTCAGGTGAAAAAGCACTTGACGAACTTTGTCGTACGACTAGTGTATTACCGTCCACGTGAACTAGCACTGTGTACTATCGATCGACCTACTACTTACGTACGGTTCGTTCATTTGAGTTTATTCATTTAATATGAATGATCATAATGCTAATTCTTCCTTTTAAAAAAACACAAGAAAGATAGTAAAACACAGAGCTGATCTACTAAGGATACTAAATAGGAGAGATGCTTACTTAGGTAATAACCTCTGTCATTTTCACGTACTGGATACATCAGCAAAATGTGCAATAAATTTTCGTTTTCATACGAATTGCACATACTAATATACAATGTTGCTTGCTACATATTGCATAATTATTTCCATCTATAAAAATTCTCATGTCGTCATCTTTGGAAAAAAAATCAATTCCATTATTGTTCTTTGTTTTCTTATTCCAATATACTTTGTCAGATAAAATTCTACTCCACCAAATGAACAAATATTTGGATAGCTGGAATTATAAGATGAATTCATTAATCTTTATACAAATATCTTATTTGTGTGCTTTAAAGGGTGCAAAGCAATGAATTGATATATCAGCTACCTTGATATGCTTGGATAACATTGGCAGAAATCCATATTAACAAAATTATATAATTTACTGAAAATATATTTTTGTCGGGTCCTAAGTTCCACTGACAATTAGACAAAACTCTAATATTTTTGGATGTAGTATGTATTACCAAAATATAATCATTAAAATCAGTCATCCACATCAGTAGTCCTTCTTTGTATGTAAAATAGTATAATTCGGAGGTTCCGTGGTACGCCGACTCTAATTGGGTTACCGCGGCGAACTTCGTGAAAAAGTAATAATTACAGTATTAAACGGAGAATGAATTAATAAACATAAAAACGAAAAACAGTAGTACTGAAAACGAGAGTTTTTATTTTGCAGCAGCAGTCATTATGTTTTACATAGACATGCTTTAGCTGTTAAGGAGGTGCCAGCCTATTTTAAGAAAATTTTGGATAAGTCTGATCAAATGATTGATTATATAAAATCACGGCTTTTGAAGTCAATAGTATTCACATTATTATGTGACAATATAGAAAGCCTTCATCATTCCCTGCATCATTCTCCATACAGAAGTGGTTGTCTCTCGATTACGTCTAAAGTCTTATCTCGTTAATGGACCACAATGTCAAATGTGCCAACGTTTTGTGTGATGAGAAATAGCAATAATGTCGTCTTTATGAGATATTTTCAATAAAATGAATTAGATGAATCTTTCTTTGCATGGAAAAAGTACACAATTTTCGATGCAAATTACTAAGTTCACACCTTAAAAAGAAAATCTAGTTTTGGGTTGAATATGTTGAGATGAAAGAGCTTAGTTTGTATGTTTTCTGTGTTAAATGATTTTATAAAAGAAAATAAACTGCAGTCTGCAAAAATGTTGATTGATGAAATAATAATGAACAACTTCAATGTTTGGTGATGTCCTTTGAGCACAACTTCCCAACTCGAGATACAATGCTGCAAGACCATGAATGATTGGTCAATCCGTTTTCCATTTCGACAAAGCCAACCAAATCTTCAAGTGAATACGAACGTTTGATAGACAAAGTTCACTCCTTCAAAAGAAAAATCTAGTTTTGGGTTGAATCTGTTGAGACAGAAGAGGGGGAGGGTTCTCCTGTGTTAAATGAATTTTTTAGAAGACAACAAACTGGAGCATGCGAATCGCACATTGATTGGTGAAATATGTGAACACCATGGAAGTTGGGAGAAGTTCTTTGAGGACTTCATCCCAACAGTTCGAGTTACCATGCAGCGAGAACATGAATGTTGGGAGTCAAACCGTTTTCAATTTCGACAAAACAAACCAGTCTATCTTCAAGTGAAAGAAAAGAAAAAAAAAAAACCAACGGCTTGTTGAAAAAGCAAAACATGTTTTTCTTTCATTTGCCAAAGCTTGCCTGTTTTAATCCAGATTTCTATCTATACATCCACCAATACGAACACAGAAAACAAACACTTTGAGTGAGTAAAAATTCATTGAGTCGAAAATTTCTATCATTGTAAAAATTCATTTTTTTTTTCAAATCTGATACGCATTTGTATAATTTAAACGATGTTTATAAATCCCAGGCCCTGAAGATGATCTCAATAAAGATCGAAACGTTGGCAGGTTAAAGAAAATGATTTTATAACCCTACGTCACACCAGACCGCATTTCACGATCTCCAAATAATCATAAAATACTGAAGCTCGATAGATGCTGAATCCGACATCCGTCTCCAGCTATGAAAAATAAAACCAACATATCCAAATTTTGAAAAATAAAACAACCACACTCTTCTCATCAATTCCTTAATCATTAATGTTCAAATTATTAATTTTGAAATTGCCTCGAGTTATGTATACCTACTGATTCCGTTCCGTCCAATTTGATTGTTTTTGTTCTAAATTTCTAAAATTAAACAGGTAGTAATCAATGATTATTCAGAATTCGTGAGATGCGGTCTGGTGTGGTGTAGGTTTCAGAAAAACATTTTCTTTATCGTGCCAACGTTTCAATCTTTATTGAGATCATCTTCAGGGCTCAAAGTGTTTGTTTTCTGCGTAAGTGTGCCATTCTTGCGTGTCGTTTTGAGAGTGCAGAAAACAAACACTTTGAGCCCTGAAGCTGATCTCAATAAAGATCGAAACGTTGGCACGATAAAGAAAATGTTTTTCTGAAACCTACACCACACCAGACCGCATCTCACGATTTCTGAATAATCATCGACTAACGGTCACTAATCACCACACAAGTAGTAATCAATGTCAACA